GCTGCCTCACTTTAGTTGATAGTAGTTTCAGTGTCACTATGAAACAGAGCTCTTTTAAAAATGACTGGATGTTGCAAATAAATTGTTTTCCATCAAGCTAAAAATAGATATGTTTTTCTTATTTCCTGAGTTGTGATGGTTTGTGAGTGTACCCTGCTGAAAACTATTGAACTCTAATTGCACACTGACTACAGGACGCGCTGGGGAAGAATATCTTTACGCTGTACAACAGCTGATGATCATGGCAAATTGCTTTTCCCCCTGACTCATGAAGAATATGCAAAAACAATTCTTGGACTACTCTGGCAAAAATGAAAGGATTTGTGGTCTCATTGTTAGTTCCACTCAAAAAACAATGTTGACTTCAAAGGATTCCAATAAATGAATCATATGTTAATTCTATAATGTAATGAGCCCAGTAACCAACTAGTTTTCACAAAAGACTGCTTTCAACAACATTGTTCTGTGAGTACAAGATACAACATCATAAGTAATCTCTCTGACTTCTAATTTGATACTATGCTTTAAAACAGTTGTGAAATAGAATAAATACAGGTTGTGTTTCTCAGATAGATGCTAGTAGATGTTTACGAAGATGTTTTTGGGGCAATATTTATAATATATAGGGGGCCTTAAGGCGCTGTGCCTTTGTACGTTAAAATCAGGTTAATCCCTCTGAGAACAAACATATCTCTCTGAAGACAAACTTGGCCAAGACAGATACAGCAGATTTACTCAAAAACAAAAATCAAGGAATTTCCTCAGCAGCAAGAGCAAAGCTACAGAGATAGAAACAGAGGAGATGGAGAGAGGACTTTGAGACAAGGGGGGAGGAAAGGTGCCTCAGTCCTAAAACAAGCTCTGTGTTTCATGTAGAAGAAAGGAAGCGAAAATGATTTATACTTTTTTCACTGTGCAGGCCTTCGGAACAATCAGTACAAATTACATTTAGTTTACTCACACCTGGAGACGAGCTGAATCTGTAGCACAATAATAAACAGTGTTATGAAGGTTGCTTTAAAACTTCATTCTGCGTCTGTTACATGTACTCTCTGTTAGATATGCCTCAAGCACTGGTTGCAAGCACATGTATTATTTCAGTAAATGTTGTGTATAGTAGTTTTATTTTGACTATTTGTGTTTGCTACTCAACTATATCTTGCAAACTGGAATATTGCAAATACTATACTCATTTACATTTAGCTGACGCTTTTATCCAAAGCGACTTACAATAAGTACATTCGACCAGGAAGACACAACCTTGAAGAAAACAGAATCATATAAGTACATCAGGTTTCATAGAGCCAAACATTTCAAATGCTACTCAACTGGCTATAGATAAGCCAGTCCTTTATTAGTATATAAGTGCTTTGTTATTAATTATTTGTTAGTAATTATATCGCTTGAAGTGGAGTCGAAAGAGATGAGTTTTCAGTCTGCGCCGGAAGATGTGCAGGCTTTCTGCTGTCCTGATGTCAATGGGGAGCTCATTCCACCATTTTGGAGCCAGGATAGCAAACCCACGTGTTTTTGCTGATGGGAACTTGAGTCCCCTTCGCAGTGCGGGTGCAGCGAGCTGTTTGGCTAATGCAGAGCGTAGTGCACACGCTGGGATGTACAGTTTAACCATGTCCTGGATGTAGGAAGGGCCAGATCCATTCGCAGCATGGTATGCAAGTACCAGTGTCTTGAAGTGGATTCTAGCAGTTACCGGAAGCCAGTGAAGTGAGCGGAGGAGCTGAGTGGTGTGGGAAAATGTAGGAAGGTTGAAGACCAGACGAGCCGCTGCATTCTGGATGAGCTGCAGAGGTCGGATGGCACATGCAGGTAGACCAGCCAGGAGGGAGTTGCAGTAGTCTAGGCGTGAGGTGACGAGAGCCTGGACCAGAACCTGCGTGGCTTTCTGGGTCAGCTGGGGACGTATCCTCCTGATGTTGTAAAGCGTGTATCTGCAGCAACGGGTTGTAGCAGCGATGTTTGCAGTGAAGGACAGTTTGTTATCTAGGATCACACCCAGATTCCTTGCAGTCTGAGTCGGAGAAACAACAGAGGTGCCGATGTTGATTGTCAGGTCAAGAGTGGGACAATCTTTTCCTGGAAGGAAAAGCAGTTCAGTCTTGTCAAGGTTGAGCTTGAGGTGATGAGCAGACATCCACTGAGAGATGTCTGCTAGACAAGCAGAGATGCGTGCGACGACCTGGGTCTCTGAGCGGGGAAAGGACAGAATTAATTGGGTGTCGTCAGCGTAGCAGTGGTATGAAAAACCATGCGGGCTAATGACTGATCCGAGCGAGTTTGTGTACAGGGAGAAGAGGAGGGGACCCCTGTAGTTAATGGACAAGGGTCGGACTCGGACCCTCTCCAAGTTACCCTGTAGGTACGGTCTTTGAGGTATGAGGTGAGGAGGGAAAGTGCAGAGCCTGAAACTCCAAGTTCTTGGAGAGTGTGAAGGAGGATCTGATGGTTCACCGTGTTGAATGCAGCAGACAGGTCAAAAAGGATGATGACAGAGGAGAGGGAGGCTGCTTTAGCAGTGTGCAGTTCCTCAGTGACAGCAAGGAGGGCAGTTTCTGTGGAGTGACCTGCCTTGAAACCAGACTGGTGCGGATCCAGAAGGTTGTTCTGATGGAGATAACAGGAGAGTTGTTTAAAGACAGTGCGTTCAAGTGTTTTAGACAGGAACGGGAGGAGAGAGACAGGCCTGTAGTTTATAACATCAGACGGGTTGAGAGTGGGTTTCTTTAGGAGAGAGTTTACTCTTGCCTCCTTAAGACTATTTGGAAAGTGACCAGAAGTTAGAGAAGTGTTGATGAAATGGGTGAGAAACGGTAGAATATCAGGAGCGATAGTCTGAAGGAGGTTTGAAGGGATAGGGTCCAGATGACAGGTGGTAGGGCGGGCAAAGGTAATGAGGGTAAGAACCTCACTTTGAGAGAGAGGGGAAAAGGAGGTCAGTGTGTGGGTGAAAGGAGTGTCTGGTGACCCAGCGGTGAGTAAAGGTGAGTCAGAAAAAGAAGAGCGAATATCATCAACCTTTTTTTCAAAGTGGTTAACAAAGTCGCTTGACAGAAGTGAGGAGGGGGGAGGGGCTTTGGGAGGGTCCAAGAGGGTGGAGAAGATGGAAAATAGTTTTTTGGGATTGGAATAGGAAGATTGGATCTTATCTTGAAAGAAAGTGCTTTTTGCCTGAGAGATCGAAGCAGAGAAAGAGGAGAGGAGAGCCTGATAGGTTAAGAGGTCGTCACGGTGTTTGGATTTCCACCGTTTCCGCTCTGCAGCCCTAAGGATGGTTCTATTAGCACGCAGTGCGTCATTTAGCCAGGGAGCAGGAGGGGACTGACGAGCCTGCCGAGATGTGAGTGGACAGAGAGAGTCCAGAGAGGATGAGAGAGTAGAGAGGAGAGTTTCTGCAGCAGAGTTTGGAGGCAGGAGTTGGAACGAGTCAGATGAAGGGAGGGCTGAGAGCACCGATGAGGCAAAGGTAGAGGGGGAGAGGGAACGAAGGTTACGGTGGACAGGTGCAGGATGAGAAGAGATTAGTTTGTTATGTTTGGAAAGGGGTAGAGAGAATGAAATGAAGAAGTGATCGGATATGTGGAGCGGGTTTACAGAGAGGTTAGAAGTAGCGCAGTTCCTTGAGAATATGAGATCAAGGACATTGCCAGCTTTATGAGTTGGTGGGGATGGAGACAGTGAGAAAGCAAAGGCGGTTAACAGAGATGTTAGTTCGTCTATCTTCCCTGTCTGGAGGTTGAAGTCTCCGAGAAGTACAGCGGGAGGGCCAGTTTCAGGGATGTGTGAGAGGAGATTATCTAATTCCTCCAAGAAGTCTCCCAAGGCGCCTGGTGGATGGTAGAGAACAACAATGGTTAATTGTATAGGATGGGTTACTGTGACGGCATGGAATTCAAAGGTGGAAGGAGTGAAGTTAGGTAGCTTGAAGAGGGAAAAGCTCCATTTGGGAGAGAGCAGGAGACCAGTGCCACCTCCTCTGCCAGTGGGTCTGGGTGTATGGGTGAAGGAATATGCTGTGGAGAGAGCTGCTGGGGTGGATGTGAGAGCAAGGAAATCCAGAGACTGCAGGGAGGCGTAGCCAGAGATGAAGTCAGCCTTAGGAACAGCTGACTGTCAGTTCCACAGGCCACCTGAAACTAGATGTTGGATCTCAGTGGAGCATGTGGGATAGACGAGAGCAGGCCGGTTATAGCGATTAGGAGATACACGGGGCCAGTGATAATTGCGAGAAGACACATGAACAGGAATGGAGAAAATACACATGATTATAGCATGAGGGGCTAGAAAACTAAATAAATAAAATAAAACACCAGCGGTAATTAGCTCAATCACAGTTGCTAGTTACAATTCATATGTATACTTAAAAAACATTTAATGAAATGTAATATGATGTTATTTATGTAATAAATGTACCTACAAACTATACATAAACCATTCATAGTGTATATAGTTAAAAAAGCTGACTAAACACTCTCACCCTGAGGTCACAGCTTTTAGTCATATCATGTGATTTTCACCTGCTGTTATGATATTGTAGAATAAAGTATGACATTACTGTTGTACTATTTGATTTAGCTGACACATTTATCCAAAGTGACTTACAGTACATGTAATGCAATTAACAATGAAGTTACAAACTACAAAGAATCCTGCACGAACATTAGCTCTAAATAACCATTTTAAGTGCCAGCCTATTGAGAAATGTTTTTATTGTTCGGAAGAAAAGGTAGGTTTTCGGTCTGCAACTGCATCTTTCCTGATATTATTGGGGAGCTTGTTCCCTCATGTAAAGCCTGGGGAGCAAAGGGGCTTGTTTTTTTTTTAGGGGTACATAAGAGTAAGAGAGTAATTTCTGTTGTTCTGACTACTTGGATTTCTTATCCATGTTGATTTAAGAATGGAAGTTCTTGAGGTTTTGAACAGCAATTGATACAAACCTATTTGTTGTGGTTCATTTAGTAGATTAGTCTATTCAGTAGTAGTAGCAGCATTTGCTACATCATCCACCGATCAGAAATACAATGTGATTACTTGCCATCAGACATAATTAAAGATTTACTTTATTTTAAAGATTTACTCCGATTCATTTTTTAACTTCGGCAGATGGTCAGGCAATATGATTTCCGGTTTAATTGGCAGATGTCGGGTCCATGTGGAAAAAAATCATCTATTAACACTCAAAGAGACCTCGAGGCAGAGGGCTGAGCCAGTGCTTGGCGGCTGGATGTATTTATCTGGCAATCATGTGTTCTGCCGTTTTGGCTCCAAATGAGTCCAGAGCCACAGGTCAGGAGGGCCACAGTCCCTGAGGTGCAGAGACAACAGGGAAAAACAACACAGAGTCGGTGAAGGTGTATTGTTTTTCACCCCTTCATGGCCTTCATCCCTCAGATCACTGGCGTTCTTCTAAATGGGGTGAGAGGACTGAACCTGTGTAAGTACACAGGTTCATATTTGCAAATGTGTTTTACTTCCTCGGTTAGACATGCCTTAATTATGAGGTTTGCTCGCTTTGAGGTGAACTGCTCAGTGGTGACAGGTGTGATTGTCTCTGGTGGAGGCTTTGTGCAGTACATCTGTCTGGCAAATTATATTCTACTATCAAGTGAAATTAAGTCTTTAAGTCGATTGTGAATTAATCAGACTGACGCATGGGCTTTTTTTGTCACAGTTTTTCTGAATGTAACATTGACGTATGAGCCAGTCTGATCAGGGACGCTGTGTGTTCCCAGGGGTCGGCTGTGCTGCTGTTGTGTGATAATATCTCTGTTTGAAGAGGTACTCACGGTCTCTCATCGCTGATCCAGGTCAACAGGCAATCACCCATTTGAATAAACAGCATGAATCAGTCTGTTGTTGCATCTGTCCAACGCATGGAGTGTTTATTTGGTTTTTACAGGCATGTGTGTGTGAAAAAAGAATTTGATTTTGAAAATTGCGTGTGGTGCATGTGTCTAACCTTTGTGCTATGGTTGGTGATTACAGGTAATCCTTCCACCAGCCAAAGCAAAAAAACCATAAAGCAGCGATTCCTCAAGCTGCTGCCATGCTGCAAGCCCGAGGCTGCCCCTTCTATCAGTCAAAGCAAGTGCTCCTTCACTCTCTATACATCTCCAGTTCCTTCCTTGTATCTGGACTCTTTATTCAACTCAGAAGATTCATTCAGACGCTTATGTAGAGGAAGTTGTGTACACGCAGCCTGGGAAACAGTCAGAGCACACGCTGTCTGACCTCGTTGCTGCTAATGGGTCAGACCCCTTTTTGAATGTTTAGGATTTGAAGCGTGTGTTCCTTTGGGCAATGTGTGTGTGTGAGTGTGCGGTGTGGTTACTGACAGTTATTTTTAACAGATGAAATTAGATATATCTGTGAATGGATGTGTCTCCATGCCTTTTGAAACACCTCTTTTGTTCCTGTTAATCCTCTTCTCTCACTTTCTCTCACAAGTTCAATAGGTGACATTAAATTGTCTATAAACTACTTTACCTATGTTGTGTGTTTCTTTAAATTGTGTACATACATTTTCACAAAGGTTTCCAACATTTTAAAACCCAGAAATAAACGTAATTCTTAACAGGGTAACGATTCTGGTGTTCTGGCCCCTTTAAGCATGCATTAACATTGTTAATGTCTATAAGTCATTTATCGACTTTGTATTTAGTTTCAAGACACATTTTTTCAATGCAGTTCTTTTACGTTTAACTGAATATTTTAACTTGATGAAGGATTTTAGACATTGAACATTCAGAGCCACTTCTAGATATTACATTTTCAGAAAAAACAAGCTGATCTAACCGTGTCTGTTTCTTTTGGACATGAGATCTCTGTAAGTAATTTGGCTCCTTAAAGGCTGAATCCTAAGTCATTTAGAGAAACAATCACAAGAAACACTGAATACATTTTAACCAAAAGATGCTGTCTCACAAGGCCACTTTATTGTTGTTTTGATTAAGGTATCTTTAGTGAAATTTGAACTTGAGAAATGTAGACTTTTTATATACGCATTACTATAGTATTATATCCTGGAACAGTGATGTGTGGAAAACGCTTGACGTAGTTGTCACAATTGTATGTAGAAAATTGCATTAACTCTTTATTTGATACAGTGACGTAATACAATACGACTAACATTGTTGTCAATGAAGGATGTTGGTATGCTCTTTGTATAAGACTTGGATGACAAACTCAATTTCAGTTTGATGACTTCATTAAAATATGTTTGCCGGATCATGGCTGCTGGATGTTGTTGTGGGTGTAGTGATGATAACTAACTCTGGTCTCTCCCTCACACAGACAGCGTGGAAGATGATTTTGAGTTATCCACTGTGTGTCATCGCCCTGAAAGCATGGACAAGCTTCAGGAGCAGACTAAGTTCACCAAAAAAGAGCTGCAAGTCCTCTACAGGGGCTTCAAAAATGTAGGTCTGGCTGGAAAAGAGACTGCTTCTATTACATCATTATGGGAGTTGATAGCAGTATAAGCCTTGTCAGATCCAAAGTTACCATGTCATCCTTAATTTGCTAGCAGAGAACTAATTTTCCTTATTTACATTTCTTTCCCAGGAGTGTCCATGTGGTGTGGTGAATGAGGAGAACTTTAAGACAATTTATTCCCAGTTCTTTCCACAGGGAGGTGAGTTGTCAAACCCCCTACTGCTAAACCTGAAGATCTACAACTGTGTCCATACTACTTTAATTTTCACCATTCTCTCCATCTTCATTTATTTCATAGACTTCAGGTAAAAATGCAAATAACACAATGTATTTGATTCCGCAGAGTACACAATGAATTTTACATTTTCATGATGAAATGAACATAATTAACTCATTATAAATGTACTCTGCAGTGCTGAACCATAGTCCATGCACTGCTAGGAGGCAAAGCAATTTTTAATGATATTTTGGTTGATGAAATGTTAACCACTCGCCTCCAGTTGTATTTGAAATTATTCTTATATCTTGGCTATATTTAGCTGGCTGCTAATACTGTTGAAAGACTTTTCTTCATGTTTTGAGGGCACGGAGGTTATTGTAAGTCTCTACCTTTGCAGATTCAAGTATGTATGCACATTTCCTGTTTGAAGCTTTCGACACTAACAAGAACGGCTCTATTAGTTTCGAGGTGAGCTCTATTTTTATATCGGTTTCCTTTTTAGAAATAACAACAAATGTGTGCTCCGGTGAAGTTTGCCACCACTGCTGTGTCATCACAAATATGTTTTCCTTTTAATGCCTGCCTACAGAGATTAGTGCTCTGATTTGACTGTATTTACTGTATCAAGATTGAAGTGATGCCTAAACAAAGCAGTAAATGATTTGCAATCTTTTCAGGACTTTGTATTTGGCCTGTCTATTATCCTGAGAGGGACCATAAATGACCGGTTAAACTGGGCGTTTAACCTCTATGACCTTAACAAAGATGGCTGCATCACCAAAGAGGTAAACACAGTGGCTGTTTGTGGGGCAGAGGCAGGTGGAGGTTTAGGGTGGGGTTGGAAGAGGAGGCGAGAGACATACGAATGACTATGTCCTTGGTGTTCTGCCGGGATATGTGGAAGTACGATATTACTATATTATTATTTCATTTTTTGTGGGAATTGACATTGTCTGTTCAGATTTTGATCCCTGAATACATCAGCTTATATATTTGAAATGTAGAACTTTGCCTCAGTATGACAATCATTCCCTGTGGTATTTATGGCTATAAATAACCATTATATAAGCGGAATTTGTCACAGATGTCATATTTAACCATATTAAACTACATTCAAATCAAATGAACATTGTGTAATATACTCAATGCAAGTTAATCATTTTGTAATCAAACAAGACGAAATAAAAACTATGCTCTCGGACTCATGACCTCTATACTTCTAAAATAATAAACCTGACCACAGCAAACTGATGTTTTCTAACTAATTCTACATTTTCAATAATATTTTCGCTCTTTTGTCCTGTCCTTGTTCTGTCTAGGAGATGTTGGACATCATGAGGTCCATCTATGACATGATGGGGAAGTACACATACCCCTCCATGCAGGACGATGTTCCACGAGAACATGTGGAGAGCTTCTTCCAGGTCTATATCTATTACTGATAGACAATATACTGATTCTTGATAACAGTCTCTGTTAGAGGATTGGAAGAAAAAAACTCCTGATTGTGTAATTATTTGATCATTCATTTGATATTTTCTTTTTTTAACAATTCCTCACTTATTTTCATTGCTATTTTTTTTTTTTTTACTTTCTTGTGCTTATATTGTATTATCAACGTTGAGGGCCCCCTTGAAAACCAGATGGTACATCTCAAAGGGTTATTCTTTAAATAGACACAATTATTGAATTACTGTTTTTCAGTGAATAAATGTTTTCCTGTTTTATTTATTTTTCAGAAAATGGACCGGAATAAAGACGGCGTGGTCACCATAGAAGAGTTCATAGAGTCATGCAAAAAGGTGGGATGAAAAAGTGGATTTTAAATCCTGAAGGAACAGTATAACATTTACTGATATTGACTACTTTTTCATGTGTGTTACATGTGTAGCTAAAGCTTTGAGCCAATTAGCTTAGTTTAGCATAACGAAATATTTAACTCTCTATAAAGAATGTGACATAACATGTTGATTAGTGGGCTTTAGAGGTGCTGCGGTTGGTGTTTTTATTTTTTACTAACCTTAATGTGAATCATTTGGATTACACATAATGAGCAATAACACCTTTTCCAAACCCCTTGTCTCTTTCTAGGATGAGAGCATAATGCAGTCCATGCAGCTGTTTGACAACGTCATCTAGGAACCTGGATCAGAGTCCCTGGCACCAGGGAGGGGAGTATGTGTGTGGATGAGAGGATTTGGGATTAAAAAGAGACGAAGAGAATTTGTGAATGTGTGAGTATGTGTGGCCTTTTTCTGACTTGCAAGCTTGTGCTTGTGTGTCTGTTGAGAGCTGTGAGTCCTGAGGACACCGAGAGACTGTCTCCCTCTACCCTGACCCCGGGACATTTGCCCAGCAACAATGGAGTTTTCGTGACTTCCATCATCATGCAGAACCTTAGTTTTACCCCGGAGGCACAGAGTAAGAAGGACAGCAGTGGGATCACAGGCACTGGCACACACCTGTTTTGTTTGAACTGTTATGTATTACTACTGATGGAGGATCTATCGCAGCATGTGCTGGCTGAACTCAGAGGGCGCAAGTTGCCTCCAAACCTTGATCTAAGATCACTATTCCTATTTCCCTGTGGTGGCTGAGATTTGGATTTGTGAATCCGATCCTGCCTCCGTGCATGTTGGTAAAATCTCCCTGGAGCCGCAAGACTCCACCGGCCATGAATATAGAAATGAATCTGCCGCCATCTTGTGGACGAAAGAGTGAAAGACACTTCTTGAGGAAACAACTGACACATTTGAGATCCAAGCATTTTGGTTTTACAGATGGAGGTTCAATCGTGTTGTTTTCCACGAGGAACTGATTACAATATCGCATGATGATGTCACTAATATTCAATTATCTATTTACAGAGATACTCCAAAGTCTGCTTGTCTGTCTGCTGTTCTTAGTCATTCACAGGTGCCTCACCCTTTGTGTACATGTGTGTGCATATGTAACAGAAAGAGATGTCACCCATTTTTCTCATGTAAAGGGGCAACACCAACCTCCATTCATGGGATTCTAGTAGAATAGTTCCCAAGCCTTCCAAACTATTACAGTTCTAGCTGTAGGTGTCGATTGACTGTTGTACATTTTCTAGCATTCCCATTGCTGTGATATTAGGCAGTACAATGTGGGGGTTACACTATACTCAACAAGCTGTTTTTATCATCCCAGCCTCCTTTGACAAAGGAAAGGCATACCACAGTCGTACAAATCTTTCTTTACATCAAAGGGGAATTATTAGATTGCAGATTGTACTTGTGAACCTCTTGTAATCAGAAATGTTGTGTGGCTGTAGCAGGTTCTACCACTTAAAAAATATTCAAAACCCCCGTTGCATTAAATTAGGCTCATTCAATTTCAAAGAGGCATAGTATGTGTGTGCGTGCTGTTAGTGAGAGACTTAAAAACATAGTTCCCCTACCCGTCATTCTCTATTCTCCCTCTCTCTGTTACACCAAAGAGACCAAATATAAATTACAGACGTTTATAAAGCTACTTTAAATAAAGACAAAAGGCCCACCAGTGGGTGAAGATGCTGTATTGTCAATATGACAAGGGGCAAGCAGATATAAAGACATGTAATTGGGTAAAATGTCCATGTGATTTTCCTGCACATTACCCAAAATCAAGTGTAGTTGAGAGTTGTTAACTGACACTTTATTAGAAAGGCATGTGAATAATTTGCAACCACCAGAAATACTGTCTATCTATCAGGGTGTAAGAAAGAGGCCCTCAAACGTTGAATTAATTGGTTATTTCCTTAAAATGCAGAGAGACTGACATGGAGTAGCAATAATGTCCACCCCTTATCAGCACTTTTCCACCCATTCAACCTCGCAATCTTCTCAGAGCAGTGACAGGGAGCACTATGGCCCTGATGACAATATGCACTTCCAGCCCTGCAATTTTCTTTTTTTCTGTTCTTCATTTGTTTTCATCTGGGGTTAAAGTGGTTTGACTCTGATTGTTCCTTGCCAATCGTTTTAAGATTTTATTCCAGACCACAAGTAAAACCAGTCTATACCCGCATGTACTGTGTCTAGAACAATGAGAACCTACTAACCCGTTGTACTGACTGTCTAGTTAGCTAGCCTCAACCGGTTGCATAAAGTATCCAAAATGTGTATATTTTGTACAGAGACAATAAAAATCACAGTTACTATGCAAAATAGAGTTGAGTTTGAATTTTATTCAAATAGGATAGTGCATTTATCCTTATATTTGTTGACATATGGTACAAAGCAACAAATCAAAATCTACATAGGTTATACCTCATAATTCAGCATCACGATGTCAGGAAGAAACGGTTCATAACTTAAATATACACATTTATACATATAATCCCAACAGCCACATCTGATTAAACTAATAGGCAATTTATGACCAGACACAAGGCAACAGGTGAGCAACCACTTAGTTACCATATTCAGTCTAAAGGCATTCTGTTAAAACTGTGAACATGAACAAAAAAACCTGCAAAACAAATACATATCCTTCATGGAAATCTTGTTGTCATTAAAGCTGACAAGAAACTGAACATCTGTTTGCTTTTGCATCGCTTTGTTTCTATCCTCACAAAACAAATCACATGAAGTTTTCATCTTCGTGGTTCATTCGATTTCTCACCGATGGCCTTGATGTATTCTCGTAATATTTGATCAACAACATTTCAAGAACACCCTGCTTTTAAAACCCTGTTATGAAACGTTGGTCACCACAGGAGAGATATGCATAATAGTCCAGTGTTGAATTAAACTTTTTTAATGCTTCCATGTTTCATTTTTCTCTGTGAAGGCCTCAAGTTGACAAGGACACTGCTGGCTCTTAGTGTCTTGAAGTGTGGCTATTAGGGATTACATTTTTCCCTCATGGAGGAACCATTTACTTGGGCATCTTGCGAAGCTCTGCCAGAACCCAAATAGCCAGTGAGAGAAGAGCCACAGAGCCAGACTGGTGAATTGCTGCCAGTGGAGTGGGGACATAGAGTAACAGGGTGCTGATACCGAGCGCGACCTGAGGAGCACAAACACACAGAGTTTAGTTAAACTGAGGAGTAATAGACATTTAAAAACAGAGGTTACATGTTTCTGAGCTAACTGGTAGCCTACCTGTCCATAGGCCATTGCTGTGAGAAGGTTGATGGCGATCTTAGCCCTCCTGGGCAACAACATCCTCCTTGAGAACAGATAGAGGCCTGTGATCGCCGTCAAAGACGAGATAGCCTAGAAAACACAATATGCAATCAACAACCTGCATCCACATGCCTCATACTGATAACAAATTCCATTTAGAAATAATATACCAAAATTCTGTGGTCGAACTGCACAGTTGTGGGATTTTCAAAAAAGTTTTTGAGGATTGGAGAGAATGCCAGAACATCATCTGGGATCCATCGTTCTCCCATCTTAGGGAAGGAGTTATACACCAGCCCAGCATCCAAACCAGCAACAAAAGCACCTGTAATCAAGCATTTGTGAAATTAATATATATGGAAATCATATACATCTATCCTACATTAGATTACATTTACAACTTTAATGTTCTTGTATTAACTAACTCTCTAAACATGTTCTAAAGTAAATTGCACTGTACTACCAACACTGTTTTGGTAGAAACGTAAAGCATCACAAGTACATTCAAAAGAATATTTGTATGATGTTGCATTCACAAAATACAAAAAAGTACCTGAAAGAGCCGTAAGGAAGACGATTCCACCGGTACCCTTTGCAAACCTCCTAAGCTGAGTGAGGTTTTTGGTTTCTGCCATCTGTGAGAAAGATGCATTCATCAATAATAAACAAATAATTTGATCACACAGACTGAAATAAAATATATTTGGTATTATCATAGGACAATTGTATGCAGGAGACTGCTTCTGTACCTTGTGTATAGGCAGCAGCAGAGTGAGCCCTGTCCAGAGACTGGCGGAGTAAAGCAACAAGGCCGAACCAAGATGAGCACTCAGACGATACTGGCTGACCCGCGGGATGTCATGAGACTCAGGCTTCTCCTCCAGACCGCTTTTCACCATGTACCACCCCAGAAGTCCCTGAGAGGACACACACACACAATGACAGTTACTTATGTGTTGTTGTTTTTTTTTGACATCCATACAATTTGATTACAGACACTACAAAGCTTATCTTGAAAAATAAAAGTGTAAAAATGTTGTGCGAAAAAGTAACACTGAGGTACAAAAAGGATGAACTCTCTAAGATAGTCTCCCATCAACGCAGTTGTATTGAGTCTTACCTGGAAGAAGACAAATCCACAAAGTCCAAGCACTCTTCCCTTCATGGAGCGAGTGAAGTATCCTTTCTTCCAGAAGTAAACGGTGGGGAGGATGTACGCAAGTCCAACCAGCCTCCCCCACATACGATGGCCCCACTCCATGTAGAAGATAAACTTAAACTCTGGCAGAGTCATGTCATGGTTCATTCTGTGGAAATAAAATGACACATTTAGCTGACACCTCAAGCACCAGCATTAATTAATAAAAAATGAGGCCGCTTACAAACGTGTGTTTTAATTTACGTGATGGGGTGCGTTTAAAAAGTGTGCCATGATATGGTAAACAGAAAGGTTGGAGACTTACATTTTGAATTCGGGAAACTGTTGGTACTTTGAGAACTCAGCCTCCCACTCTAATTGCCCCTGAGGTGGTTTCATCTCTCTCACCAGATGCCAGTCAACCATGGAAAGTCCTGATTCTGTTAGCCTGATGAAACAAATGTACATATACAGTAAGTACAATCTATCAACACCACTTGAATATGAGAACGACTGTAATAAACAAACAAACGTCGCTTTACCTTGTGACACCACCCAAGACAATAGCCCCAACCACCAGCCCGCTGCAGCCGATTAACCATCGACCTACTGTGCGATTTGTGGCCACGCTGGGGACAGTAGCTGCTACCCGGGCGGAGGAAGCCCCAGCCTCCACAGTGATGGTGCTCTGACCTCTCTTCACAAGCCATTGTCGAGGCTGTGGACTTCGCTGATATTGTACATTTAAAAAGAGAAAAATGTTTACCTTGCTAAATGAACAACAACCCAATGAAAGCTTCAACAAAGTTTTCTTCCAACCTTGGGCCAAGGCTTAGGTACGGAAGAGGATTAGGGCCACATACAAAATTTTTTTGTGAGGATTTGAAAAAAATATTATATTTTTTTGTTCTGAGAAAAAAGTCAGAATTCTGAGATTAAAGTCAGAATTCTGACTTTTTTTCTCCCAAAAAAAAAAGGTTTTTTTGTTCTGAGAAAAAAGTCAGAATTCTGAGATTAAAGTCAGAATTCTAACTTTTTTCTCCCAAAAAATAATAATATTTTTTTCAAATCCTCACAATTTTTTTTGTTATGTGGCCCTAATCCTCTTCCGTACTTAGGTAATGCTGGTTTCATAACATGTGGTAATGTTGGTTTCATAACATGTGGTTATACAAAGCCAGTCCATTGAGAAATATAATTCACAATTTAGTTTAAAAAACGTATTTTGTATTAACTAAAACTCTTCTCAAACGGTGGAGATTGCATAATATGGATTATTTATTAATAATAAAACAAGAATCACATGATGTGGGTAGTATGCAGGTGTTTACATTCATCTGAGCATTTCACACAAGATGACCCTGCTTTCTCCTATAACCTCTCCTATGATACATTTACTCAGTAAATGTCCAGGAGACGACTTATTTGTAAAATATTTGCAGGTTTGGTTCAGTGTCTCTGGTCGATAGGGAAATGTAGTTATTGTACATTTAAATAATGAAGTTATATTCCTGACGTTATAACGAAATTAATAATATTGGTTTATCATAAACGCGAACGTAAGGTCGGTATCATAGGAAGTTGTTAACGTAACCGTGAAATCTATTCATTTGACTGATAACGTTTGCGGACGTAACTGCTGAAGAGTACAAACACCCATGTAACGTAGGATGCACTAACTTGTTTTAATACACGTTAAAAACCACGCAAAGTGAAACATAAAGGTGTTAGCTGATGGGCTCGCTTTTCGAAACTGTCTCCCGTATCGTATTATATGATATAAGTGTAAATTGCTTGCAGTGCAGTCTGACCTTTTAATGCTTCTCTAGTTTATATCAGGAGCTAGCTATATACTCACAGTGCTATGTTGAAATCCCTTGGTAACATTTCTGCAGCCGTAGAACAAGGTTGTCCGTAGTGAAGATAGTAGCATCTTTGAGCTTTATCTAATAACTGGTCCTGAAGTGATGTAGAAAATATGAAACCTGGGTTAAAGCTGTATCCGGTTTTACACAACCTGTTTGGTTTCCACTGTATATAAATGGTTTCCTAACAGTCGAATTCAACTTTAACCTCATGACGTCACAGACATTTAGCGAGGACAACATTTGTTTCCCCTTTTGATGGACTTAAAACACAGCATTTAAAGACTTATCAGAATAATGAATGTTGTATTATTTTATAAATTGTATTATCTCGAGACGGGACGAGGTCGTTTGTGCATGTTTTGTGTCTTAGCGTATCCCGCATGGGCGGCCACGCTCTTCCCTCTATCGCAGTATTGATGAATAACCAGTAAAGCACCGCCCATCCGCCATACCGTGTGTTTGAAATTCAACTAACCAGGAAACGTTGATCCACTGGTAGGTGTAGGCATGGATGTCGGCGCTGAAGTTAACCAGTTCCCCAATGTACTGACTTCATATCACTTCTAATCCACTGAAATGCTCCCATGAATCAAGAGGAAGTTGATTTGAAAGGTCGTTGTTTTGGAAGTCAAAACGTCTCATTCATTTAGTTTGGGGGTTTCATTGAACATATTCACAATGCATCTCTTTCTGCTACTGTCTGTCTGTTTCATGTATCACTATCCAGGCTGTGAGAATGGCTGAGAGTTTTTTGATGGAGGCGTGTGTGGACTCCGTGGAGTCTGCTATCAATGCCGAACGAGGAGGTAGGTCATGTGCAGTCCACGCTGTTGTGCTTTTGGTATTAAACTCAACATAATAAAGCAGTTAAGCAGACAGTGTCTCGGGTATATCGTGTCCTTATCAGTGCTGATTATTAATGGACATGCATAAACAGTTGTTTCATTTATCAAAGGGCATGGATCATAAAGGTCTGACCATGCGTCTCTCCTGACAGGTGCAGGTCGACTTGAACTGTGTTCTAGTCTTCTTGAGGGAGGACTCACGCCCAGTCTAGGTGAGCTCAGTTCATTTGTGTACATTCATTCATCCACAACCATAAACCCTTTTGTATCTTGAAGAACATTCAATTGGAACAGCTTACACAAGAGGAACTGTACCAACTACCACTCCTTCTTCATATCATTAAGAACCTAGTTTATCAGAAATAAAGTGTGTGAGGTGTTTCCATGTTGTCTGCTGTCTTATTTTGTTTTTAAATTATTACACTTAAAGCTGCACCTGCTCATCATAGTTGCTCACCACTGTGGTGAAGTTAGTTTTAGGTTGAATATTCCAAAGTCTTACTCAGTTTCTCAGACTGTTGGCAGCCAGAGGAAGGTTAGCTTACATCTAAGACCTCTCTCTTAAACTCAAGGATTCATGCACTGTCACTGTTAAATAAAGTCACACACAGAAATACAACCTAAAAACTTGCTTATGCCACCATTTTTGCTTTTGCCACAGGTCTGCTGCAGGTAGTGAAGCAGTATGTAAAGATCCCAGTCTACGTCATGATACGGCCCCGTGGGGGGGACTTCCTATACTCAGACCAGGAAGTGGAGGTGATGAGGAAGGACATAGAGCTGATGAAGAGCCACAGGGCTGACGGACTAGTGCTGGGATCCCTGACAGAGGATGGACGGGTGGATGCAGAGCTCTGTATGGAGTTTCTGGGTATTGTCTGCATTTTTATTTGATCATGTCTCTATGGTTTATAGAAGCCATATATGCAATGTTTTCATACTGCATCTTTTGATTGTATTTAGTTTGAGGTTCGTATTGTTTAATGTACTTTTCTGTTTGTCATTTTTCGCTCACTAGCTGCTGCCCGACCTTTACCAGTCACCTTCCACCGAGGTAAGATTTTTATTCTTCAACTTAAACATATCATTTTAATTCCATGCAGCTGCCAGAAACTACACTACAGAAAAGCCTCAATGGAATAATAGCAAAGTAGAGTGATTAATTACATTGCCGTGAAAGACTTCTGAACTCATGTTTTTAAACTGATATTGATCCTATTGCAGCGTTTGACATGGTTCACGACCCAGTGGTTGCTCTGGAGACTCTGATATCATTGGGGTTCGAGCGTCTATTGACAAGTGGTTGTGAGAACTCTGCTTTGGAGGGACTCCCTCTCATCAAACGGCTCGTTGATCAGGTATGTATACATTTTATGTACACATACATGGTTGAATGCAAGCATAGGAGAATGGCAAGGCTACTTAAATGTGCAGCTTTTGTCTCTGCCTTCCTACAATTTATATATCCTATACTCCACTGTTTCTTATCTTCAACAGGCTAAAGGGAGAATTGCCATCATGCCAGGTTAGTACTTGTTTCTTGTATAATCAATCAATCAATCAAATCAAAATTGTATTGGAGACTGAGGGCTCCAGGTTAAAGACATGTCATTACAAAACAACACAACTATAACAATGTCTCCAGACAATTTCTTCTCAGAGTCATTAAACTGGCAAATATAAATAAACTTAGATTTCTTAGAGCAGTTTGTAAAGTATTGACTTCTTTGTCCATGACACTTGTACTACACCATCTAGTTCTTATATATAATATACTCAGCTACTTGAAGTCTCTGGGACATTGCTTTTCTGAAGTTGGACCACAAGTGTGCAGTATAGAGTTGGTCACAATATTCTCTGAACAGGAATGCCTGGAGATATAAAACACATGTACAATGTATACAGTAAAATACTTAGTTCTGTGCACTTTCCAACATTTCAAACAATGCAAACAGTGGATGTTATTGACAGCATACCTTTAGGTGATAGAATTGTGAATGAGGATCCATTGTACCCTATTCTATAGAAGACAAGAATGGTTAGGGTTTGTTACTATTTGATAATCTACTGTATGTTTTATTTGTATTCAGGAGGAGGTATCACTGAAAGGAACCTTCAGAGAATTTTAGAGGGCTCGGGTGCTCAAGAGTTTCACGGCTCTGCCCGCTCCAGTAAGGATTCTGCCATGAAATTCAGGTACGTAGGATTTTTTTTTTTAATACAATTCCAAGATTTCTTGCAATTATAGGCTTTGATAAAACTGATATTCCCCTACGCAGGAACACCTGTGTGACGATGGGAGCCGCTTTTTCAGCACCTGAGTACGGCCTGAAGGTGACAGATGCGAACAAGGTCCGCACTCTAAATGCAATAGCCAAAAATACCTTATGAATTCAACAATGACTGAAAACAAAAGGGATACCTCAAAAGCTATCATGAGGAATTCTGCTGATATGTCAGAAATTAGTTTTACTTAAGTCCTGAACAGGTAGACATTTTGGAACTTTTTTTTTTTCTCCTTTTTATAATCACTGATGAAACAGTCTTTGTAAAGTTAGAGCTCAGGGAGAACCCTTCAACCTTCTGTGATATGTGATACCTCACAGTGGGGAATGATTAATAATTGATCTTTTATTATTAGGATATATCATTTAATATTATATATGCCAAATCAAAAATTAAAACATTGGTCAGTGCTGTTTTCCCACTGCCATGTAGTTGTTGTATATGTATTTACAGCAAACTGTAATTCACAGTGGAAGATAACTCACATTTGTGACCACCTGTACAATATTTCTTTCGTGATTCTTTTGATTCAGTTTGCTCAATATTAAACTAAAGTTTAAACAATGGAACAATTCTGTGCAAATTATTTTATTGGTGATATTTTCTAATGTCTCCTACAATTTAGATATTTTTTAAATGTAATTTAAAACATGAGCCATATGCAAAATCATGCATCATTTAGAGTATATTTTATTGTGAGTGGTTGGAAAGTCTTTAATTACACTTGTATCTAACCAGTCTGCACTAAAGTGACACATTTGAGAGTCAGTGAACCTGTGATATCATTCAACAATCGGGCAGATCAATAGACACACACTAACATGACAGAGACATAGTGTAAAGTCATGTCAATATAAACAGGTTTAAACCTCAACAACAATTTTTTACACTGATGTTACATCACAAAGGCCAATTTGTCTAGTTAATCTTTAGTAAAAACAAATTCACAACAACAGACTCATATGGCATCTTAATATTTTCACTGCCCAGTCAAAAATTAACTATACAGCATAACCCAAGACACACGCCTTTGACCCCATACAGGTAAATAACATGAGTTTGAAGCATAGAGTCTATGGTTTGAAGCAGCAAAGTGTACTGAGTCATCTGAATGAGTAAGAAAAACTGGACTATTGGAAGAAGGACACGTTAATGACCTATTTCCTTTATTAGCCCTGGCAATGGCTATGGGCTGCCACTTATGTTTCAGTAATTGTTCATTTTATAGATGAGAGCAACCCATCCGGGTACTTTCCCTCAACGTCATGGCTGCGCCCGTTCAGTGATAGTACCCCTCAATGCAGTAACATATTATATCTTATATTATAAATATATATATAAATCAAGTTAGTTCTTCGAGTACATTTAGGGTTAGGGGTTAGGTAAGAAAATAGAGGTCACCTGTCACCATCTTGTGGTGGCAGGGGAGATGCACGGCACATGTTTTTCATCTCTAGTTAGTTCAATAAAACCAATGCTGTTAGTTTTTTTACCTTATTAGGGTAATGTGGCATGGTTATGAACACATGAACACAACTACATCATAAGGGAGGGGAGGAAAAGATGGGGATTCAAAAAGGAAATGGAGAAAAAGAGAGAGTTTAAAGGCCCTGACACACCTACCCGATTTTGGGAGTCAGAGGCCGTCAGAGGCAGTCGGGCATTCGCGGCGCCCTACTCAGGTTGGTGTGTCCCGCACCATCGTTGCTTTATGGCACATTTTCACACCTCCCGCGGCCGATTCAACATGTTCACTCTGATTGGCTGTTGCCTCTTTTGAATGACGAATACACACTACCGCTGCCTGCTGGTAAGGACAGTTATTGCCACTCGTCGACTGAAGTCTTTGCGGTGTGTTCGTAGGCGGGCGGCGTAGGCGGGCGACGCAGGCGACGTAGCGGACGTAAAAGTCGGGACGTCTTCGGTACGCGTTATTTGGTCCTTAAAGGAGAACTGATTAGAAGTGGCAAAAATAATACTAAGGGGTAGGAGAGGTTTTTGGGTTTAGGCGAGGGAGGGAGGAAGGAAGATTAGGATTAGGTAAAAAGGTAGGGAGTGGTTAGGGTTAGGATGGGGGGAAGGGAAGGGTTAGATTGAAGGGAGGGAAGATAACTGCTACCCGGGAAACAGGACGCAACGCGTCATCTGTGAAACTCCACCCACATTGAGTTCCCGCCCACGTTGAGCTCATTGAGGCATTGCGCACTGCATTGAGGGGCTTCTCGTTCAGTGTGCAATTTGGGCGTGTCTCAATGTGGGCGGAGCTCAAAGTTTGAGGCACGCCCCGTGCAATGGTAGCTACTTGCTGAAGTTCATATTGGGATTCACACAACACCTGGCGTCAAATTGCAACTGAAGTAAGTAGCCCTGACATAATGCATAGTCTACTAAGTAATTGTTATGTTATACCAGAGCAATAGTAGAAATGACCAACTAATGCAAATTATTGCGGAATAATTAATCCTCCTGAATGTTAGCAAAGCATCCTTTAGCAAGTGTTTTAATAGCGTGCTAATAGAACCGTCCTTCGGGCAGCAGAGCAGAAATGGTGGAAATCCAAACACCGTGACGACCTCCTAACCTATCAGGCTCTCCTCTCCTCTTTCTCTGCTTCGATCTCTCAGGCAAAAAGCACTTTCTTTCAAGATAAGATCCAATCTTCCTATTCCAATCCCAAAAAACTATTTTCCATCTTCTCCTCCCTCCTGGACCCTCCAAAAGCTCCTCCCCCCTCCTCACTTCTGTCAAGCGACTTTGTTAACCACTTTGAAAAAAAGGTTGATGATATTCGCTCTTCTTTTTCTGACTCACCTCTACTCACCGCTGGGTCACCAGACCCTCCTTTCACCCACACACTGACCTCCTTTTCCCTCTCTCTCCAAGTGAGGTTCTTACCCTCATTACCTCTGCCCGTCCTACCACCTGTCCTCTGGACCCTATCCCTTCAAACCTCCTTCAGACTATCACTCCTGATATTCTACCGTTTCTCACCCATTTCATCAACACTTCTCTAACTTCTGGTCACTTTCCAAACAGTCTCAAGGAGGCAAAAGTAAACCCTCTCCTAAAGAAACCCACTCTCAACCCGTCAGATGTTATAAACTACAGGCCTGTCTCTCTCCTCCCGTTCCTGTCTAAAACACTTGAACGCGCTGTCTTTAGACAACTCTCCTACTATCTCCATCAGAACAACCTTCTAGATCCGCACCAGTCTGGTTTCAAGGCAGGTCACTCCACAGAAACTGCCCTCCTTGCTGTCACTGAGGAACTGCACACTGCTAAAGCAGCCTCCCTCTCCTCTGTCATCATCCTTTTGGACCTGTCTGCTGCATTCGACACGGTGAATCATCAGATCCTCCTTCGCACTCTCCAAGCACTTGGAGTTTCAGGCTCTGCACTTTCCCTCCTCACCTCATACCTCAAAGACCGCACCTACAGGGTTACTTGGAGAGGGTCCGAGTCCAACCCTTGTCAATTAACTACAGGGGTCCCTCAGGGCTCTGTTCTTGGTCCCCTCCTCTTCTCCTTGTACACAAACTCGCTCGGATCAGTCATTAGCCCGCATGGTTTTTCATACCACTGCTACGCTGACGACATCCAATTAATTCTGTCCTTTCCCCGCTCAGAGACCCAGGTCGTCGCACGCATCTCTGCTTGTCTAGCTGACATCTCTCAGTGGATGTCTGATCATCACCTCAAGCTCAACCTTGACAAGACTGAACTGCTTTTCCTTCCGGGAAAAGATTGTCCCACTCTTGACCTAACAATCAACATTGGCACCTCTGTTTGTTTCCCGACTCAGACTGCAAGGAATCTGGGTGTGACCATAGATAACAACCTGTCCTTCACTGCAAACATAGCTGCTACAACCCACTGCTGCAGATACACGCTTTACAACATCAGGAGGATGCGTCCCCAGCTGACCCAGAAAGCGACGCAGGTTCTGGTCCAGGCTCTCGTCATCTCACGCCTAGACTACTGTAACTCCCTCCTGGCTGGTCTACCTGCATGTGCCATCCGACCTCTGCAGCTCATCCAGAATGCAGCTGCTCGCCTGGTCTTCAACCTTCCTAAATTCTCCCACACCACGCCGCTCCTCCGCTGCCTTCACTGGCTTCCGATAACTGCTAGAATCCACTTCAAGACAATGGTACTTGCGTACCATGCTGCGAATGGATCTGGCCCTTCCTACATCCAGGACATGGTTAAACCGTACACCCCAGCATGTGCACTCCGCTCTGCATCAACCAAACGGCTCGCTGCACCCTCGCTGCGAAGAGGACCCAAGTTCCCATCAGCAAAAACACGTGGGTTTGCTATCCTGGCTCCTGGCTTACACACCTTCCGGCGCAGACTGAAAACTCATCTCTTTCGACTCCACTTCGAGCGATAGAACTATTAACAAAGCACTTATATACTAATAAAGGGCTGGCTTATCTAAAGCCAGTTGAGTAGCACTTGAAATGTTTTTGCTCTATGAAGCCTGATGTACTTATATGATTCTGTTTTCTTCAAGTTTGTATTTTGTTGGTCGAACGCACTTATTGTAAGTCGCTTTGGATAAAAGCGTCAGCTAAATGCAATGTAATGTAATGTTTTAAGTAAGGATAATGTGCAGCGAGGCGGTCAATACAAAATTCAGAATAATGAATTCCTCACTGCACATTATCCTGCTTATTACATGGCCACATACTACTAACACAAACGCTTGGTTACAAACAACCAATCAGAATCAAGTATTCAACTAAGCCTTGTAATAAATATAATCTGCTTGACTCCTCTTCAAAATAGAAAATTGTTGTATTAGCAGAGTTCAGAAAAGTCTGTAAATCATTTGTGCCTACTGTAGCACTACTAATAACTACTATACATAACGTATGTTTTAAATGCATGCAGCTTATTTTATTTCTGTCTAACATGCCCGTTTTATCTGTCTTTCTTTTCTTTGACCAGAGACACATCACACACATATGCGATGGCGAGAGCCCTAAAATCCTAACTTGTAATTCTGGCAGTTATCACTGCTTTTTCTGCATATACAAGGGTGAGAAGTATCAGGTCGAAAACCACATCAAAGGCCATTCTACTGTGAAGCACGGAGGTACAACACATTGCTCTTATTAGAATTGTCTGTTTTTGACATCGTTCACAATGAGATCTTAATATCTTCAAATTTACTGATTTTACTATTGTTTCTTGTTTTCAGAGTTCACAATTGTTAAGTGTGGCTTAAGCTGCAGAAAAGCAACTCACTATCATTGTTTTCACTGCTCGGTCACAATAATTAACAGAGCCCAGTTTCTACTGCATCTCAATTCACATGAGCAAAAAGCTGTTACTAAAGGGCACCCTCCTCCACCTGCCCTGCTCCTTCCAACCTCTCGCCTGCTCGCTCCTCCACCTGCCCAGCTCCCCCCAACATTTGGCCTGCTCGCTCCTCCACCTGCCCAGCTCCCTCCAACATCTGGCCTGCTCGCTCTTCCACCTGCCCAGCTCCCTCCAACATCTGGCCTGCTCGCTCCTCCACCTGCCCAGCTCCCCCCAATATCTCGCCTGCACCCTCCTCCACCTGCCCAGCTCCTTCCAACATCTTATCTGCTCATTCCTGCATCGGCCCAGCTCCTTTCAACATCTCAGCTGCTCCTCGCTCCCTGTCACCCTGCTCCGGAAAAGCAACCTCAGGAGAAACATGAGGCCAATCAAGACCTCAAAGAACAAAGCAAGCCTAAAAAGAAACTTGTAACTTGTCCACACTGCTCACTGAAGTTAAATAAGAACAATTATAAAACACATGTACGTCGAAAGCACAAAACAGTCTCCAAGGAAAATATAAGAAGGAAAAGAGCAAATAAAAACATTGTTGACGATTTGACGGTGGGACATTTATGAGGGGCAGTAATGGGTTTTGCTGAATTAAAGTCGACTGCACAAAAATACCACCACCTGTTCATTTGTAGGATCTGACTTGTTTTTGTTATTATAATTATTATTATGTTGTTCATTTCATTTGCAATAAACATTTTTTATGTAAAAAACAAATGAAGTCACAACTGAATAATTGTATTAATAGGCATTTTGCCTGCTTACATATTGCAATATTTTCCAATTGTCAGAGGGGAAACCGGTTGTCAGTATTTAATATAGTAACTAGTGTGAGTTTTAACATTACAAATGTTTACTTTGACGATTGATGTTTACCTTTTATAGCATCATTTTAGCTGTGATGAAGTGTTTCCCATAGACCAGGGGTGTCCAAACTACGGATGCGGCCCGCGAGCCATTTTGAATCAGCAAATTAAAAAAGTATAATGGAATATGGCCCACAAATTAAACTTGTGCTTGTCTTATATTGTACTTTTAAAATATATATGTACAAATATATCGCACAGTATTCATGTGTTAGTAAGCCCAGTTTTTAAAGTTGAAAACATTTTCTAACAAATGTAAGTTGATAAGAAAAAAGCCCAATTACTTATTTCCCCCCCAACTGCCCCCCTAACTTTTTGGTTCTTAACACTGTTATGAGTACATCGAAACACCACTATGTCCACAACCTTCTCAAATCATTATAACAAGCAATACATTGACCTATTTTTATTTTAAGAGTAACCTAAAGCCCCTAAAACATTTTCTACGGCCCTGCATAATGCGCGCGCAGCGTAGCGTACACACAGACTCCGGGTGACAGCGGCAAATCACACCAGAGAGAGAGCAGCCGCAGACTGAGCTATTCCCAGCATCTGAAGGTGACGTCCGTTACCCTTCGGACCATTTTGTCCTTGTATTGATTTAAGTAAAGGCATGTGTAATACACACTATTAAAAACGGCGTGTTTGTATTCCTACCGTTTAACGGACGGTCGTCTTTGCATGCCGTTTCGTTATAGCCAACAACACACTACACAGTGACAGTGCTAGCTAGGTGATCGATAATTTTAATTTTGTTAGCTAAGCAGTTTAAAAAATACTTAGGTTACCCTTACATGTCAAAGCAATGAATTAACAAATTAAAACAAGTTACATCCCGCATGTTTAACCGCATGTTTTACATTTACGCATGTTAAGTTTATTGAATTTCTAAATGGTCAGACAGTGTAATGTATTACGAGGATGTTGACCAGTGCTTCACAGATTTACTTTTGCAGGCCAGAGTACCTGCAGTTGTTCGACTAAAAATGAAAAGAAAAGGGAATATTGCTTATTTTTTTAGCCCAACAAGCCAGAGAACTGAAAATGAGGACGAGAGAGGGAAACGAAAAAGGAGAGGAGAGTACACTGGAGAGACCAGGAGGGTCAGAACATGAGAAGGCCACTGATTCTGAAGGAGATGAAGATATGGATAGAGAGGAAGTGGATGTGAGAAATGAAAAAGAGGGTTCAGACCATAGACTGTATAAGGTTCAGACTCAGAAAGAGGGACAGAGGCAGGAAGTGAGAAGGAGGCTGAGGCAGAGGGCAGGGAGGTAGTTACCATTCTAGCTGGACCACATGGTATGTTTTGATTCCCCATCCATTACAGTAGCATAGCAAGGCATGTCACTCACATACAACGTCATGTAAAAATAATATGTTAATTCCTACTTTCTGTTTTATGTGTTATATAGGATTATTTGTGTAAAGATTTACAAATGTGTCTTATTGTATTAGTGATTATGATCAAACCAAAGATATAAAACAAATGCTATGAGTACTACTTGTATTTTGCCTGCCGTTTTATATTTTCTTTCGAGAAATTATTGTAATTCTTGTATTATTTTCATTTTGTTGAAACTTTGATGTTTTAAAATATGCACAGTCTGTAACGACTGAATGAACACAAGTGGAGGACTCAATAGCACGACTCAGAGACAGAGGATTAGGATGCAAAAAAGGTCTTTATATCCAAGGTTCGGTACACAGGAGATCAGTCAATAAGGCTATAAAACAGACGAAGAGTAGACTGGAACCGGGTCAGGACACGAAGCTGGGTCAGGTACACGTGGAATCAGATACTAAGAAAAACACTGCTGGAACGCTAGGAATAACTAAGACGAACTGGCACTAAAGGGACTGTGGATGCAGACTAAATAGACAGAGGGAGAGATGATAATGGGGCACAGGTGAGGCTAATTAGGGAAGGGAAGCAGGTGGAGTTCAATCAAGGGCAGGAAAGCTGAGACTGAAATGAGAGAAACAACAATGAAAACAGGAACAATAACAAAAACATCAACATGCTGGCTAAGCCCTTACACAGTCTTGTTTTGTTTGATCACTGGGCATGTTACTTTTGTGATACTATAACAATACATAGTTTAAATGTACATTTGTGTTTTAACGTTTTGTGGTGGATTAATCGATCCTCACATGCCCCCCTGCCAAAACCTCTTACCACCCCATGTAAAATTGTCTAGATCCGCCACTGATACTACTATACCAGGGGTGGGCAAACTTTTAGGCTCGGGGGCCACTATGAGTTTTAAAATTTGACAGGCGGGCCGGGCCAGTAGCAGATGGATGGAGAGTGTTTGTGTGAACAAATACAAATTACAAGTAAAAGCCATTACCTGAAAAAGTTAAGAAAACTTACATTTCATTTCAGTGGGAACAGTATTGTTGGTCACCCTTTTTTGCCAGTGCATCAAAGTTTGGTGTCAGTTTGGTTGTGGCAATTCTCAGGACATATCTGAGGTGTTCATCAGTTAACTGGGATCTGTGACGTGATTTGTTGATGTTCATCACGCTGAACGTCTGCTCACACACGTAGGTAGAGCCAAACAACACCAGCATCCTCTGTGCCATCCTCCTAATGTTTGGAAACTTGGCTTCGCTTAGTGAAGCATAAAACTCCTCCAGTTTGAGATAGTTGAACTTCTCCTTTAAGACGGAGTCACATTGAAGATCAATCAGTTCCAATTGCAACTCCTGCGGCGCTGTTTCACAGTCTTGTGACAGGGGACATGAAACCAACTGAAGTGACTTTTCGATTTTTTTTTTAGCTCTGGAAAATCGTCAGCTTTCCCGATTAACTCCAAAAATGAGCTAATCTCCCCTTTAAACTCCCACACTCGTCGACATACTTTCCCCAAACTTAACCAGCGGACATGAGAATGATAAAGCAAGTCCTGGTGATCAGCATCCGTTTCCTCAAGGAACTTAATAAATTGACGATGCTGAAGTTCCCTCGCTCGTATACAGTTAACGAGTTTTATGACTGGCTCCACAACATGATCAAGTTGCAATACAGATTTACACAGGGCTTCCTGATGGATTATGCAGTGCAGGAAAATGACATCCAGCTCAGGATTTTCCTCTTTCACCTTATCCTGGATTCTTTTCAGCAGCCCGACTTTTTTTCCTGTTAAGTTTGGCGATCCATCTGTGGTGACATTGGCAAGTTTACTCCAAGGTAGCTTCAGCCTCTCGATGACATACAGTTCTTAAGACCCAAACTGCGTTTTACGTCGCTGATTTTCTCCGCAACACCGCTCACAACATCAATAGAGGACTGCGTCGGGTAGTTTTTAATCATACAAAGCCAGATTAAATTAAATAACTACTTCTCCAGCCTTATACCTTTCTCCAGAGTACCATGGTGCATTGTTTATTAATGTGTTTCAGTGGCATTACCGCCCGCTGGAGCGCGGCTCGTCCACCGGAGATTATTCTCCCGTTAACTCACAGCAGCGGCCGCGGGAAAGTATTCACTGTCCGACTGTCACACAAGCAGCTGAGAAATATTCCCCATCCCCATCAGTGAATGTGTGTCAGTCTGAATTGATGCTGTTTGGCATCACAACGCTGTTTCTCTGGCATTCTACAGGTGGTGTTAGCATAGCAACCGAAGCTAATCAGACTATATTGACTACTTGTTGATATCATATTGAGGCATAAATCGGCACATTTTACCGGCGTAGTTTTCGTTATGATTTTACTTGTGATGGCCACATGTAGCCCATGTATTGATTCCATCTGATAGCTGCAATAATACAAAACAGGAAAACATCTGCCTCTTCACAATTGTCAATAACGGTGAACGGATGGTCATTAAAGTAAGGTAAAAATAAACAGAATCACACTAAGCTGGTTAGTGTTGCCTGACTTTATATAAGTGTTTTTTATAAGTGTGTGGTCGCGTTTTAGTCGCTTTGCTCAGCGCTACTACTTGTTACAACTTGTATTCGCTGTTCTCGCCTTGTAAGGGTGACGTATGCGGTTCTTAGACCCTGCCGGGTTGCCGAGTGGTCAATTGCGCCATCTAGTGGAATAAACTGAAATTACGGGGTTGCAGGAAAAAGCCAAAATGAATGCGGTCATTACTATAATTTGGACAATTTTGTACCAATATTCGGCGGGCCGGATTCAAAAGTCCAACGGGCCGTATGTGGCCCGCGGGCCTTAGTTTGCCCATGCGTGTACTATACCCTATCGACATGGCAGTGCTCCCATCTTTTGAACTGACTGTTTACATAGGAAAACACCTTATTATCATGTCATTGTTTGTTAAATAACCATACATTAGCTTAAGATGTATTAACTCTCAATTTAGCATTGATTAATGATAGTTTATTTATTTTTTAAAATACCAAATTGCATAATTGTTGTCTTCTAAACAGTTCTGCATCTTCAAGCTTTGTTCATCAGTGGACCTTTCCCTGAACAAAACTTCTCCCAGCCTTAGCTAAAGTCCCTTTGAATAAACTGCACTTCAGTCATGCACAGCAAACATTTGGACTGATCTGACGCCAATAGCTGATTATTACAGAATGTCATGCATTAGCACCATAGTTGTAAATCAACTTCAGCAGTCATTGCTCCTTGTTATGTGTGGGATGTCTTCACTTGTCACATGGCTATCCTTGGCACTGAGCACACAATGAGTCAGCTATATTATAACCATCTAGTGTTATCAAATGTTTAATCATTAACCAAGACATTGTCAGTAATCTGTTTTTAGGATCATCACAGTCAGTGAAATACATTTCACACACAATCTTTGGTATAGGTACTAATACAAATGTAATTTCCAGCAATCTAAATGATGTACTTTACTGCACAAAACTTCTTAACTTTAGAGTACTTGTGTCGTGCTGAGTATCAAGGTGACAATTTTGTATTTTAGGGATGTTTATCAAAAATGTTAGTTTGTTAGAAATGTACATTCGCTTAGAGCAGGGATGGGCAAATGGCGGCCTTACTACTTGTAGTACTGATACCGTCCACTAGACTCCTAGTTACGTCGCGAGCTGCGTAGATGATTTCAAATACCGCGAAATAATTTGTGACGCATTTGTGTGTTATTGTGTTAGTTTCCCGGGGAAACCCTCACAAGAAACACCGGCTGTTGTTATGCCTGCTGTGACGTTAAATTGCCTCTTGTAATTATGCCTTTACAAGCTTAAAAGTTGTTTTTATCATCTGAATTTGGTGAAACAAGTTTAATATTCTTAAAACCAAGACTTTGTTTATTTGAAATCAGATGAAAACAAACTGTCACGGACCCTGCCGTGTTATCTATGATTACTACGCTTTTCATTCATAATTTCAGCGGGAGGGAGGGGGAGTGGTGCTGAGGAACAGCAGAGTGCGGGCTGACAGGTGTCTGTGTTGACATTCCCCTTATTGTGGAATAAGGGGAATGCAGAGACTGGCTACTGGCTACTAAGCGCTTTGAGCACCTGTAAAAGCGCTCTAATAAAAAATGTAATGCATTATTTATTATTATTATTTACAAGTGTTTTAGGTTCAAGTTAGAGAACTAATGTCTGGGTTAGTGTTCATGACTTCATGTGTATGTCATCTAATGGTTAATCTAAATACACACACATTTTCCGTGCTTTCCAATAGTTTAAAAATAGTTTTTTTCCACTGTTTAATAACCTGTTCAATACAAACATGCCACTTGTAAAAATGAAATAAAATGTCTGTGAACTGATATTTGTTTAGTGAGCTTATTAGAGGATGTTCCCATTTGTTGGGGATGTTCCCTTTGATTGTAAAATGTCAATGAAGATGTCAGACTTAGTATATTTGTTAATAATTACATACAACACATGGAATTTGTGTGTGTGTGTGTTCCAAGTGAATCTGCGGCCCCCTGGTGGCCAGTACATCAATGATGTGGCCCCCACCACCATCAAAGTTGCCCATCCCTGGCTTAGAGTGTTTAGAGGCTGGATGACAGGCACATGTGGTTTTAGCTTCAACAACGCAATACTGTTCAATTTGATTCATGTGATCATCCTTCTTATTCCACTCATAGGCCAGAGACTCACACAGGCACACCATCAGCAATACTCTTGGTTTTCTGTGTTTTGTGTTGAACTGGTGTCTGGTAGCAATTTACCTCTGGAATTTTCTTTAAAAAAAACAGCCCAACATTTACAGCGCAAAAAGAAAACCAAGATCTTTCACACAGAACCACACAAGTTTTGCTGGCTTTTTAAAAATCATGATGGTCTTTAACTAATATGATGTGACCTGAAAAACTGTCCTTCCAGAGAAAGTGAAGGCATGCAGAGAATAAAGTGGAAACACAACAGGAAAAGGAGTCTAATGAGCTCCCTCCCTCCCCTTTCCTAAACACACTTCCTTTTTTGGTGGTCCATCCCCCTTACACAAGGAAAACAGAACAGAAATACTTGTGTAATACTTTTTTCTCTCTCTTACAGTCTTTTACCTGACATTTTGAACTTTAGACACATCTGAATGTCTGGGTTCTGGAGCAAAGCAACATTAACTGAATGAATGTGACTGCAGTTGTTTAGTTTTCGTATATACTCAACAGGAGGATTGCATGTGTGGACTTGTTGCTGACATCAAAGAAGGCAGCGCGGAGGACAACCATCAAAGCTCAAAGTCCCTCTCAGTCACGTCCTGCAATTGTCTCTGTGTAGGCGGACGGCGGAGAGAGAAGGAGGGTTTGAGTGTGGCAGCAGGGGAGAAGAAGGCGAGAAGCATCTGGTTCTCCACTTCTCTGAGAGGAACCAAAGCCATTAGTGGGGAGCATGTGTGCTGCAATTCTGGAGGAGTACTGCGGCTCTGTCTTCTGGGTGAGTTCAACAGCCTGGGTTAATGCTGCTGATGGCAGACTGTGGGTTAAAGGGAAATGATTTCATTGTGGCCTCCAGTTGACTTGAATAACTTGTAAAATGTTCACACATATAATCAATAACTTAAATGTATTGACGATAACACTTACTTAAATACAATATCACAGCGATACATACAAACGTTTCAGTGACGTTCTGAAATGTTCTTTTCGGTTTGGGAAAATGTCAGTCATAAATCTTGCTTACACACTCAAAAAAATTGCTTTATTAGCTACATGTTGTCTATTTAATGTAGTTGTGTTAATCCATATTTCCTAAAACTACTACCTCGAAACATTTTATTCATTTTCACCCCTGTACACAGTGAGTTCATTCAACATGTGACAGGCCAATAATGATTCTTAGGTAAGGGATGACTCGGCATGTCTGTTAACAGCACATGTTTATGAGCTATGACTCTGCATCTTTATGTTCATAAAACATATTTATAGTACTATTTTGCTTTAAGCTGTTTAATAGGGTTGATTTTCTGCATTTTGTCAGTCTTTCCAGACAAATATCTTTGGGTTTGTCAGTGTTTTCAGACAAAAGGCATTGTTTATTGTTTATTTACAGATCACCATGCACATGGGTGTGCCTCCAGTCTTTCTTGGGTACTGAACACAGAAATACAATAGAGCCAGCTCCACAAAGAAAATAATTAAGGATGAAGTAGTAACATTCTTATCAGGACAATTACACATCAAAACAAAAAGAGGAGAGACTTAACAATAATAAAGTGATGCAAAAGCAAGCAAACCAAACATTTAAACGTATTAAAGATTCAAAGATGTTACAAATAGCAAATTGTGCCTGTGTGTTTGCCATATTAAAATAACAAACATTCTGTTATTTGGCAAGATATTCCTTTTTAGAGGTATTCTTTTGACAAATACTACATGCTATGTTACAAATCAAGCCATTTTTTGTTTTCTTCTTCACATTTTATAGATTAAAATGTTAAACAAAACATTAAAAAACATCTATCTTATTGTGTGAATGTAAATATTTAATTTCCCTCACGAGTAATTGTTAAATCCATTTAACCAATGAAATAATATGATTTATATAAGCTTTTCATGTAATCTCACAATTTATAAATGTATACTTATTTTCACTAATAAATACATTCCATCCATAAAGCCTGTATTTCAAGTGATTGAAATGCTTATGAATTATTTAAAAGCATTCAAAAAGCTTTGACACACTTTTCTAATTTGTGTCAGTAGCTTTTGCTCTTAAAGTATTGTTCAGCCCATTTCACGCGACGTTGCTGTAAATCCATTAGCACCCATCTCATAATTGCTCTCTTCTACGGAAGTGCAGATAAGTCAACACATGCTGATGCCCATTCATCCATAAACGTAGGGACTTAGGGTTTACTCAGTTATTATGAATAACTGATTTCTAATCAGGGAGGTGTGACCCTGCACTGTAATCTAGAGTGTGCTCCAGTGCTAGTAAGCTTTGTGTTTGTGCTCGTCTCTGAGATAAGGAGAGCTCTGTCATTCAGTTACCAGTGTTAACTGTGATGGTTATTCTCGCGTCCAGGAAAGAGAAGCTTAAAAAGGAGACTAAATGGAGTCTCTGAGATGTTTTCAAATTGGTACTTTAATTAATAAAAGGCGCGGTAAAGTCACAAACAGGATATTGTCCGACAGAAAAGCAGCTGTCTCTGGCCCTCGCTAGCAGAGAAAAGAGGCCGAACCGCTCAGGTGCTGCTCTTATATAGCTTCTGTAGGCTCCTCCCTGCGGGCCGGCCCTCCACATCTTAATGTCCGTTGTTACGTTTAAACAGAGGATTCAGGCATTGTACATTCAATACATACTTAAACACGCCTCTTCTCCTCATATTGTCTTTCATCACTTTTCCTTTAACACATTCTAAACGTTGTAGTTAATATTCTAAAAAATACAGAAAATACTTCACGGCTGGTTTGGTTTCTGGTCATTCCGGAAGTTGTCACATCTTACCCACGTCTGTAAACAATAACTTTATTCAAATAAACTATACCTTCATTTAATATTCAGCAATAATAATACTTCTATAGTTGCAGTGTTAAAATCAGTAGGTTTCGGTGTGCATCACTCCATGTCATTTCGCTACTAAATTAACCTCTATAAGAAATGGTAAACTAGCCACATGCTAACTGGAGATGAAGGATTTTCAGAATAAAAGCTTAACTGGTTGTGCACAATAATTTTCTGGTTTTTCAGTATAAAACAGCATTTAAACTGAAGGTACATTTAAGGTACATTATGCCATCAAAACATTGATTTTAATTTCTAACACCAGTTATCCTTGTGTGATGGAAGTGTGTGTGTCTTTGTGTGTGCACCTCAGAATGCTTCATATCTGAACAGAGAAGACCCAGACCTCCCAGTATGTTTCGAGCAAACGGTGCTGGTCTGGATCCCCCTGGGCTTCCTGTGGCTCTGCGCCCCGCGACACCTGGCGTCTCTCTTCAGCAGGAAGCAAGTCACCAAAAGACACCTGTCTAAACTCTACATCTGCAAACAGGTAAAGCACACAACCAAACATGCTACTCCAGTCATAATGTGATGCTGACAGAGAAAATAAAGAAGCAGACAGAGAAAAAGAAGAAGCCTTTTTATATATTTTATGCACCACTAGCAATATCATATTTTATATCTTGAAAGACTTCTTTTTATAGATTAAAAATACTGGAAGAACATTTTTGTTTATTGGGGTACTAGATAAAAAAAAGAAACTTGTAACATTTAATGTTTTTTTCATACAGAAAAGTTCAATTACAGTTAAAATAATGTGGTTTTTTATGTGCTTTCCTCCCCTCAGCTTGTGGTCTCTCTGTTGTTCCTGACAGCCATCGCAGCCCTGGCCGTGACACTAGGACAGGATTATGGTCCAAGCGCAGACCCACCTTCAACAGTGAAAAACGCGGGTGTATACTACGTTAACCCCATCCTATACGCGGTGACATGGGTAAATATTGGATTCGTATTGATTGATATATTTTCTCTGGTGGTATTAAAGATGGAAAGATGATGTTCTTTTGTCTTTTCTCAGATACTTCTGCTGTTGTGCCAGGAAGGAGTCAGGCGGAGGGAAGGAGCAGTAGACTCGGCCACTCTTTTCGTTTTCTGGTTGTTCCTGGTTCTGTGTGATGTCTTTCCTTTCCAGACCCTCCTACGAGAGGCGCTCAGGCTGGTACGAGACATAGTTCAGAGCAAGACTTTTAGCTAGAAGATAAGTCGGAGTCAGTGCGCAATCCCTTGATTTGATGCAGCTCTCTGTATTTGTAACATCTTTGTTATACTATTTTTTGACCAACAGGGCGAAATCAGTGATGTTCCTCGTTTCTGCCTGTTCTACATTTCCTTTGGATTGGAGTTGATTGCACTCATTCTCTCTGCTGTGGCTGATATCGCTCCAGAAGACAAGGAGCTTTTCAAAAAGGTACCATTTCACCCAGATGGAGACATTTTCGTTATTTCACCGTTTACATTTTTATTTTAAACTGCGAGTTACAAAAGAATGTAAGAAATATATTACACTGAACACCAATCACCTCAGCACTATGTGAATGTAATGTGTGTATGCTGTTGTGTTTTTATCTACAGAATCCAGAGGCAGGTGCAGCATTTTTGAGCAGAATTACTTTCAACTGGTTGAACAGGTAATTTAAAAGTAGCCCTCGTAACAATCCAAGCAAATATCCACACACATACGCCTCAATGATCAACTTGTCCTTGTTCCTTCAGTATGATGGTCAAGGGGAACAGGCAGCCCTTGGTACAGGAGGACTTGTGGGAGCTGCAGGAGGAAGATAGCACAGCTGCCATCAACGATCGCTTTCAGTTTTTCATGAAGTCAGAGTTGGCTGCAGCTCGGGTCCGGTTGGAAACAAAGTTGAAGAAAAAACAGGATAGCAAAGCAAAGGGAGCCACCTTTCAAAATCCCATGACCAACGGACTGGCCAATGGCGTCAGTCAGGACGTGCTGATGATGGTAAGAGCGCGCAGGAATACACTTTTGTACAGTACATTTATCCTGCACTTTAAAAATGTGTGTTATTACTAGCGTCATTGATTCTCTGTCAGCGCCCCACGTTCATTTTTGAAGTTCATGTTCAAAAAAACACTTTTCTTTAGGAGGAAAAGGGAAAGAAAGATGATGGAAAGAAAGATGATGAAAAGAAGGAAAAGGACAAAGAGAAGGAGGAAGTTGATCATCCCAGTTCATGGCTGATTTCCACCATTTACAAGAGCTTCAAAGGTCTTCTGCTTGAATCTGCCTTCTTCAAACTTCTCCAGGACCTACTGGCTTTTGCCAGTCCTCAACTTCTAAAGTACGTCCAGTTTTGTGGTATTGTTAAAGCTAATTATTTATCTATCAAGATTTTAGATTGGACAGAAAAACCTTGAACCTTCTTAATCACAACAAAGTGTTACTCTTCACTGGTGTTCTTTTTCACTGGGTCACAAATCATTTACTCTGGGTCAATGAACTCTCAATGCTATACCACAGAATGTTGAACTGTTGACAAAGTGGGGAGGCACAAAAAAAAGGGAGGATAATAATTAAGAATAATTTGTTCATCTTTACATAGGCGACAAGATTGAACTATATCTTTAAAATCGGTTCTCGGTTCTTGTGAATGTTCTGACCCCTGAGTTTTAAACAGGAGGTCTGCAGGTGGGCTGCTGAATTATTGATTAACATGTAATTAATACAAAATGTTTTGTGCTCTTGCTACCCATGAATCCTCGTTCAATTAGGTGAGTTAGCTAACTATGATAATCATTTGACTTCAATTCAAATGTGATCACATTTGATGCTGCACACAGCAGGAGTCTGAGAACGTTGAAAGTAATTGGTATCCTCTGAGCTGTGAGACGGATATGTACTGGCTGTCATCTCCACATTACAATATCTCAGCTCACCCTCTCTGCTCCTGACTACTTTATAACTCCCTGCAAAAAATGCTAAGAAATGACTTTGATAGAATTGAATTTCCTTGTTACTTCTTCATATTAGAGATAACTTTTTGTTACAATTTAAATACTTATGAAGCTGCAGCACTACAACATATTTGGATGCAGTAGCAGTAACCTTATACAGTTTTATGTTTCGGGAATGTTGCCACAGACTCAGTTCATAATACTGAATAATATTTAAATATTGCAATACTTTAGTGAGCTCAAACTTCATTCTTTTACTTCATTCCGTGATAATTAAAGTGATCAATAAAGTTAATCTATCTGTTTATTCATCTATCTTTTAAGAGACAGCTAAAGTAAATGATAGTCAGAATGAAGGAAATTATTCAATTCCATGATAGAAAAATAAATCAAAGATCAATTTCGAGTGAGTTGAGCTGACCTTTAACTAACTTTTTTATACTTCTCCTAGATTGATGATCTCTTTCACTCAGGACAAATCTAGGTATATCTGGGAGGGGTACCTGTATGCAGTGCTGCTGCTCCTGGTGGCCATCCTGCAGTCTCTGTTCCTGCAGCAGTACTTCCAGCGCTGCTTTGTGCTGGGGATGAAGGTTCGCACGGCCATCATTGCTGCTGTGTACAAAAAGGTAACAACTCATGTGACATTTTTTTTTTTTTATTCTTTATTATTATAATTCTTTATCATTTTGTATTCATCATTTTTAATTTACCTGTTTTTTTTACAATATCTTTATTACATTTGTCAAATACAACACATAACAAAACAGCTCAGACATGACATGACAAGTAAGGTACGTAGATAAGAATACGAAAATAAATAAAAACACTGCACAGTGTAGGGATCCCCAACCTCTACCATTCTCAATAACTAAATTAAGTTAGATAGTAGTAATTATCAAAAATAAATAGACAAATACAGATGACAGGGTAACAAGGTTACAGGAAAGCATACAAACAGTCAAATCCAAAGTACATAGGAGCGCATGTGACATTTTTTAACTTTACCTTGCACATTTAAACAAAAAATGAAATTACCACGGCAGTTAACAATATAAAAATATATATTAACACATGTAGTTTGTAACTCAAAATACTTGTTAGCTGTGTGAGTGATAAGTCACTTTAATCAACACATGAAATGACCTCCTATTCATTTCCTAAGCTTTCCAATATCTCATACATTTAGATCCAGTCATTATAAGCCTTTTTATGTGCAACGTTTTATAATAGCCCTCAGCTACTATGCCAATATACAATAGCATGAAGTTAAAGAAACATCTTTTGTTATTATTTTCAAACTATTACAACTTGTAACAAATTGTCCTCTCCTTACTTCCTTTCCACTTCCCTCTCTCCCTACAATCTCCTCTTTATCCCTTTTTTCCAAGGCATTGGTTGTGTCTAATGATACACGTAAAGAGTCTACGGTTGGGGAAACTGTGAACCTGATGTCAGCAGACGCCCAGCGCTTCAACGACGTGACCAACTTTATCCACCTGCTGTGGTCCTGCCCTATGCAGATCCTGTTGTCCATTGTCTTTCTGTGGATCGAGTTAGGACCGTCTGTGTTGGCAGGTCTGGCAGTCATGGTCCTGATGGGGCCCATCAATGGACTGATAGCCAACAAGGCCAGAAAAATCCAGGTCAGCAGAAATGCACACGCATACACGGTTCTTGTGACACCCATTAGAATAAATTGCATGATACATAACAACAATTGTAGATCTACCTTTTCACAAAGTCAAAGATTTTTCCAAGAAATGTGAGGCAGCTTTGAGAAACTCCAAGAGAGATCTAAAGTAAATGTAATGCATCATTATAACATGAGGTTAACAGTGCACATGATAATTAACCATCTTTTCTTTTCAGATAAAGAGCATGAAGTTCAAAGACAAGAGACTGAAAATCATGAATGAAATACTCAATGGAATGAAGGTGAGTAAATAGCCCATCATCTACAGTGTGAGGGGAATTGTTTTGGAGCATTGATTGGAAAACAAGGAAGCTCAAACCGATCTGACGTCTGACAAACTGAAGGTTTCATTAAAAGCTTGGCAAAGGAGAAACAGAAGAAGAACAATACAATCTATTTTTAAGTACAGCCATTTTCTTTCCCTATTTATCCTAAACAGGGCCTGCATTAGGCTTCTTTATCTAAAACTGAGCCATTTCCATGACTTCTCAATTCTTAATCAAAACAAGCCATTGAATCATCACTGGCTCCAACTTTCTGTCTCATTTAGCTGGCATACCAACGGACACCAGTCACAGCCAGATTGTCTTTTAATAGGAAATTGGCATTCTTTTATTCTTTACAATTAGGAATCAATTGTGCTCTCTTTTTGTTTAAAAATGTTTCATGCGGATTTGCTGAGCAGGGGGAGTCTTAGTGAGTCCTACCTCAGATGAAAAGATTGTCAGCCTCCTGATTGTTAGTGTGCAGTGCCGTCTTTTATACTGCATCCCCACATGTAGTTTATTGACATTCACTCAAAGCGTATAAATGCTGTCCCTCTGTTTCCACACCCCTTCCTTTTCTTTTGCTTTCCACAATACCCGCTACTTCCTTGTTCCCCTCTTCATTTAATCTCTCACCAGATTCTGAAGCTGTATGCATGGGAGCCATCCTTCCAGACACAGGTGGAGGACATTAGGGAGAAGGAACTTAAAGTCATGAAGAAGTTTGCCTACCTGTCGTCTATCTCCGTCTTTGTGTTCAACACTGCTCCGGCTTTGGTAAGTCCCTTTTAAGGTAGCCTTGCCAATAGATAACGATGGTCTTTGCAAATCTCACACTTCCTGTTTCTGCAGGTTTCTCTGGCCACATTTGCAGTGTTTGTAAGGGTGAGCCCAAGCAACATTTTGACTGCGGAGAAAGCTTTCACCTCCATCTCGCTTTTCAACCTCCTCCGATTTCCCCTGGCCATGCTGCCCATGCTCATCGCTGCCATTGTGCAAGTAAGGGAACATCGCACATGGTACACACACACACACACACACACACACACACACACACACACACACACACACACACACACACACACACACACACCACACACACACACACACACACACACACACACACACACACACACACACACACACACACACACACACACACACACACACACACTAAAGCTGGAAGCCCACTAACTTGTTCTTTGGCATTTCAGATGACAGTGTCTAAAAAGCGTCTGGAGAAGTTCCTGGGAGGCGAGGACCTTAAAACTGATGTTGTGCTCCATGACCCCAGTTTCAGTATGTTCACAATCAGCATTTACACATGTTCCTCAGATCCATTTACACTCCTATCTGTCAGTCTTTTCATGTGTCTATGCATCTCTGTTCATCTTCTAGACACTGCTGTTAGTGTACGAGATGGCTCCTTTGCTTGGGAGAGACAATCTGAGCCTCTGCTGAAAAAGTACGTTTGTTGTGTCAAACAAAAAAATACACATTTAGATATTACGCTATATGGCTGAAAAATATTGTCTGTTGCTTCTGTATGTTGAACATCATTTTCCTGTGTGCGTTTGCCAGTGTTTCCTTAGATATTAAGCCAGGTCAGTTGGTGGCAGTAGTGGGAGCTGTGGGTTCAGGAAAGTCTTCTCTCATGGCAGCCCTCCTGGGAGAGATGTACACCACCAAGGGCTTCATTAACATTCAGGTGACATTTATTTCTGTCTTCACATCCGTCTAACAAAAGTAGTGCGTTCTTAATTAGTGATAGACGTAATTATACACAACATTTTTAGGGTTGTTCAACCTTGGTTATAATTGAACATTGACTCATCATCAAATGTTCAGGACATTTAATTCTGTTTGGCTTTAAGGCTGTTTTTTTACAAGAAACAGGACAATACACTACAAGAAAGATGCTCATGCACAAACAAACAAAAATAGATGGTGGGGTGGTAAAATATTTATATTGTCAACTTATTACATGCATGTGTTCTTATTTGCATGCATGCACATGGTCTTGCATAAGTACATGGTTTAGTCCCAAACATAAATAACATTTTATTATTGTTTATTTACATATATATTTATCCTGATGGATTCTGTGTATTATGAATTTACTCTTATGATTAACCCAACAGCACATTAGTAGATACAAGCATGTAGGATTAGAATACAACAAGCATCAAAGGCTCATATCGACTATGGTTCTCCAACATATAACGTACAAAAAAAACATTAAACCATTACAGCACTCGAGAAAACACAAAGATATCATGGCAAAGTCCCACAGCCTACATGTTGCAAGCTCTCCTATCGCATTTCAGACTGCAAGCTAATTATAAATCATCTCTTCAAACCTGGAAAGATGTACTCCATATTAGACCTAATGGATTTCAGTTGTACAGCAGCAGCATAAAGACGTGTACTTAGCCATCAGACAACAGTGCAGTAAAAAGGAAGTCTGTGCCTGACTATTTCTGTGACTATCTCCAGGGTTCTCTAGCCTTTGTGCCACAGCAGGCCTGGATCCAAAATGCGACTCTGAAAGACAACGTCCTGTTTGGCCTTCTCAA